GGGTTTAGGGTCTAGGGCTTTGAGGGTTTTGGGTTTAGGAGTCTAGGGTTTAATTCGAGGTTTAGGGCTTCCCCGGCTTAGTGTTTAGTCTAGAGTTCGTAACAGTTTGAAATTCACTCCGGGTTTAGGGCTATTTTTGAAAGCTGACTGAGGATTGCGACGGGATCTGACCCGTTACACAAGGGCCAACACGATTACGGAGAAGGGCAACGACCTCACCGTAGCATTGGCCAAGGTGGAAGATTTGACTCTCAGTGGTACAGGCAATGCAGGGCCAAATGTAGGGGTTGAGGTTTTACTGGGCTTGCCAAGGGGTTCTATTTTAGGTTGCCATAAGGGGGATCTATGGTAAATAATTTGATTTCTTTATTATAACTTAAATTAAATCCCCTAACAAGAACCCAGTTTAGGGATTTTGGGTTGAGGGTCGAACTTGTGGTTCTTGGTGATAAAGGGATGTCTTTTGGGGTTCCTTTGCAGTTGCATAGTAGGTTTACATTCAATCCCGGTATATTTGTACTATAGTGTACCCAATCCTAAACCCTAAACACCCTATAAACCCTAAACCCTAAACCCTAAAAACCTAAGCCCTCAACCCTAAGCCCTAAACCCTAAACCCCTATAAACCCTAAACCCTGGATTCTGGGGGCTTAGTTACGACTTCGGGGCAGATAGACGTCTAGGGGTTTCTCTAGGTAGGCATCTTGTCGATTCTCCCTTGCTGGACCCAAGAGGGGTATCGGTTTAGGGTTTAGGGTTCAGGGTTTAGGGTATCGGTTTAGGGTTTAGGGTTTGGGGTTGAGGGTTTAGGGTTTAGGGTTTAGGGGGTTGGGGGTTTAGGGGATCTGGTTCAACAGTCTTTTTCAAAGGCTTTCAGGGGCCAGCCAAGGATTGCCCACCTCACAATCTCGACGAACAAGTACCAGCTGCTTCCCCTTACGATTGTTGCTGCAACCATCCACTGCTCGATCCTCAAGGAGAGGCCGAAAGCAGCACCTACGCGCGAGCTTTGTGAGGAAATGCCCCGGTGCTGAGGGGTTTCAGTAGGTTATGTTTCGGTGCCTTCTCTGGCCCCCAAACCCTAAACCCTAAACCCTAAACCCTAAACCCTAAACCCTAAACCCTACCCTAAAAGGAGAGAATCACAAATGGCCAAAGTCTCTATGGTATGCAAGACCCGAGTTGGGACTATGCCCTGCAAGCAGCCGTGTCCTACTACCAGACCCCAGCTGGCACTGTGGGCAAGGTTGTTGCATATTCCTTGTGGGACCCGACCCTAAACCCTAAACCCTAAACCCTAAACCCTAAACCCTACAACCCTAAACCCTAAACCCTATAAGCCTAAACCCTATGCCAACTCAACCCCCGAAGCCCTGAAGCTTCTGGCCCACTACAAGTATTCCTTACCCAGGTCCTTCTTCAACTTCAGCTATGACCTCTGGAAAGACTGGAGGAAGACCAAAATCGAGACTTCGACTTCCCAGAACTCTCCCCGACGCCGGAGGTGCTGCACCGGCTGTGACATGACTGTGACGGATGAGCTGACCAACAATAAGCACCTGGCCTGCCACCTCAAGGTTTAGCGTCATAGAGCTTAGAGAACCCAATACCCCTTAATTAAGGAATATACCTTATAATCCCAGTAGTAACCTTGTTTTGCGGTTTTGTCTTGGAACCCTGAACCCTAAACCCTAAACCCTTGTTTTGCGGTTTTGTCTTGGAGCTCTGCTCAAGTTTAGCAGGAACAACGGAATCCTGGGGGCTGCTGGGGAACGCAGGTACAGCCTTCATTGGTCTAACAACGACGACATCTGCGACACCATTGCAGAGATGACGAAGTCCCGAATCTTGAATGAGGCATGCGGCTACATGGCGAAGGCGCTGCAGCCCATCATGTACCTGCAGCGCTACATTCCTGGGATGGAGTCTGCCAAAGTTCAGGTCCTTCCTGCTGTGGAGCAGGTTAGCGTTGGGCCATACGCCGCGGTGACCCAAGACACCGAGGACGGTACCGAGCTGAAGTACAATAGCGACGCAATGTGGCATCTGGGCTCCAATGTGCGTCATCCGCTGTCCGAAGATTCTAAGCCAGTCTTTGATTTGAGCTTAAAAGCCGCATCGTTTCAAAATCGAGGTATGCCAACGAAGACGGGAAGAGCGGTGATATCACCACGACCGGTGTTTGGGCCTTCAATGTGGTTGAGTCTCCTTTCAACAGTACCTTTTTCATTCCTGCTCCTGGTAGGTTAGTTAATGTTTTACCTTTACATTCATAGCTGCCCTCGTTTGATACGGTTGATGATATAAATCCTGCATTACCCATAAGAAGAAATATACCATAATTCCCATAGTTTAGGGCCCTTAAGGTAATGCAGGATTTATAGCAACAACTGTAAGTCTACGTAAATGCCGCGCTGGGGTGTCCTACCCAAGCAAAAGAAACGGAAAGCACATCGGGCTGGGTCGTGCTGACTCGCGGGAAATCCCGGTAGCTCGTTTTTGGCCTTATAAGACCTGCCTAAACCCTAAACCCGAAACCCTCAACCCGAAAACCAAAACCCAAAACCCGACACCCTAGTTATGGCCCCGCCGTCTTCTTGAGCCTATGGCGGTCGCCCCCAGGTTCTCTGGAGCGTTATAACGTGTGGAACCCCACACCATAGAGACCCGGCTGGCCCAAGGCCCTAAACCCTAAAGGCCCAAACCCTAAACCCTATGCCGTCAGAAGGGCGGTCCTTGAGTTTTTGTCAGCCCCTAAGCCCTAAACCCGAAACCCCAATCCCCAAACCCTAATCCCTAGAACCCCCCCCCTAAACCCTAAACCCTAAACCCTAGACCGTACACCCCAAGCCCTGATCCCTAAAACCCTGGAGCCCTAAACCCGACCCTAAACCCTAAACCGTAAGCCCTAAAACCCGAAACCCTAACCCCTAGACCCTAAACCCTAAACCTTAATCCCTAAGCCCTAAAACCCCAAACCCTAAACCCTAAACCCTAAAACCCTAAACCTTAATCCCTAAGCCCTAAAACCTCTGAGGATTCCTTTCGCCTGCAGTTCTCAGACGGCGGAGAGGAGCGGGGTGGTTCTTCCACGGGTGGCACGGAGAATTCCTACGACCTGGCGGAGACTGGGCTCTTGTTTAAGGTTTAGGGTTTAAGGGATTGGGGTTTAGGGTTTAGGGTTTAGGGGCTCTTTTGAAGGAGCTTAGCCTAAGTTACCGTCATAGGGATCTATAGCAAAGAAATCGGGTTTTCTTCTTACGGCAGCTGAAATCCAATCCCCTAGCAAGAGCCCAGGACAAGTACATCACCGCCGTAACGATGCACTTCCGGGATCCCAGCTCCTTCTATCCATCGGGCGAGGTGGTGAAGATGTCACTGAGCTTTTCTGACGGGAGCTCCACCGGGATACTAGGTGGCAAATCCCCCGTCATCGTCGCCAATCCCGTGGGGATGACGGTCACCGTGTCGGATGATGCCTCATATAAGATGGTGGGCGCCAAGCTTGGGTCCAGTAAGGATGGCTACTTCGGCTCCTCTGTTCGACAGTCAGAATCATGGGAGCAGGGTTACCCTTGTCCTAAACCCTAATCCCTGAACCCTACGCTCTAAACCCTAAGCCCTAAACCCTAAGCCCTAAACCCTAAGCCCTAAACCCTAAACCCTAAACCCTAAGCCCTAAACCTTGCTGGGGCATCTAGGCTATCTGGAAGCAACCTTCCAGTTTGTGGAGCTGGATCTGTGGCAATCTGTGGCATCTGCTGTCTCCAGCAACTGGGTCATGTTTAGAGTTTAGGGCTTAGTTAGGATTCAGGATTTAGGGTTTAGGGATTTGGGGTTAGGGGTTTAGGGGTTTAGTGTTTTTTTTTTCAGGGTTTGGGGTTTAGTAAGTTTAGGGTTTAGGGTTCTTTGTTTAGGATATGAATCCAGGAGTTAGGGGATGTGGGGATCTTGAGAACTTCAAAGGGACGGGCCTTTGGGGTTTGTTAAAAAGGGTTCCCTTTAGAGGGGTTCCTTGTGAGGGTTCTGTCAGGGATTAGGGTTTCGGGGTTTAGTAGGGT